ATATATATATATATATATATATATATATATATATATATATATATATATATAGAACGATAGTAGGATAGATAGGTAACGAGAGTGTAAAATAAAATATATTATGAATGAGCTGTAAGTGTGAGTTATAACTGTGATGAGAGAAATGAAGTAAAAGGATGGAGAAAAGAAGACGAATTGTTCGGTTAAGAAAAGAAACGACGGAAGTTGTTAAAACGTATTATTATTGTAAAGTAAAAGCTTAGTAGAAATATTACCATGTGGTGACGGTGGATTTAATTTTAACTTGCGCAAGATGTGAGTTTAAACTTTTTCGGAGCAAGTTAACACAGAAATATATTTTATACCTAATAAAAAATTATTATATAAACTTATAAGGCAATAACGTAAAGATTATAATATAGTTGACAAAGGGTTTTATGTTTTTATGAAATAAATTAATACTTTCATGTCATACCTATTCCTTTTATATACCTTGCATTCTGTAATAGTTCAGACTGAACTGGTGCAACTGAAAATATATTTTTATTAATAAATATTACAATCAAAATGTGTGAACCGTAATAAAAGATTAATTATCTCATGTTTGCTATTATGAAATCAATAACTTTGAGTAGGATCAACTTTGGAACTGCAGTTGTACATTCTCATTTTTTTTTCGAAACGGCATTAGCTCTGAACTTTTACGTCAACGACAAAGTGCACTTACACTTTGAGTAGAAAGTACTCACAAATGTATTTCAAAACAGGGATATTGCTTATATTCCTTGAAAAATACCAGAACATTTAACGTTTACTGGTACATTTATATATGTCGCAAGTTTATGATAACATCAGGTTTTTGATCTAAAACGTAGGCTTTTGATAAAGAACCGGAATAAGACAAAATTATTAATTAATCTTATCACTAACCTGAACAAATTCAGTTTTTTGGTAATGATGTTTTTTATAGAATAATGGTGACAAACAAACAAACAGTCCACCTGATGGTATGTGGTTTCTGTGGCCCATAGATCTATCCTTGATTGCGAATCAAAATGCAGATCCATTGTCACCCGTGAGAGCTAAAATGGAATGCCACGTTTCCAGTTAAAAGGGTCCAACGACTTTCTTCACATTTTCTACATTCTGTTTCTATTTAATAACAGTGATAGAGCCACGCGGCATCTTTTGCTGTATGGGCTCGAGGCGGATACGTATGGACCGCCTCGATCCGGACTGGTACCAAGACCTCACAAAATACCGGCGTGAAGTAGAAGGAGGAGTTGGAATCCCCCCCCCCCCCTCTTACACGCTATCTGTGAATTTCTGCAACCTCACTCGAACCTAAATGCCGTTCACTACCTTCTTGAGATAGCGAAGCTGGCCTTGCTATTTTTGACCGAGACGCAGGTGTCCTCATCGGCTATTACTTCGTATCTCGCCCACCCGGGTACAATTTGGCACACTCCTTTTTGCCTCGGGCTGGAGTTTGCGTTTTCAGGGAGGACATCTGTTATCGAGACCTAGGCAGTCTTAAATGCTCCGACCAGTCCGTCCTTTGGCTACGAGTAGACAGCGACGACCATCCACGCATCTACAGATGCCTCTATAGGTCCCAAAGCGGTAATCTTGAAACAGACCGACTCATCGACCACGTCCAAATGCCTACAGATTCCTTGCTACAGCAGATCCCATCCGCAGAGATCGTGATCCTCGGCGATTTTAAGGCCCAGCACAAAATCATGAACAGATCTCACCGATCATGCGGTGAGATCTGTTCATGATTTTGCCTTGGCATATAGTCTGACACAACTGTTTATTTCACCTACGCGGATTCCAGATGTGCTTGCACCTTCCCTGTTGGACCTGCTACTGACCTTTCATCCGAACAGATATCAGTTCTCTTTCGAAGCCCCTCTTGGCTCCTCAGACCATTGTCTAGTCCAGAGTGTTGTCCCAAATATGCTGAAATCTCGGTTGCATTCTGCAGGCTGCTGCAGTGTTTAGTACTATAGGTTGGCCGACTGGGATAGTATGCGGTTTTTTGGTTTGCTTCTCGCTTGATGATCCTAACGTTGTTGCTAATTCTGTCGCTGATGTGGTATTTCAGGATATGGAACTTTTCATTGCCTCCGGCACCACAGAGGAAGAAATATCAGCTATGGTTTAGTCAGTCCTATAAAATGGAATCACACTATAAGCAGGAGTGCTATCAAGCCTGTCTGACGCATCAACGACCCGGGATGTAAATAACAACGCCTTTAAAAAAGTATAATTCCGCCTCCAAGTCCTTTAAAAGAGTCATTGCCAATGCAAAGTAAGAGCACATAGGCAGAATTGGCGAGAAACTAGTTCGCCTTCCTTCGGGAACCCGTGCATTCTGGTCTTTTGTTAAAGCTGTTCAAGGTAACTTCTGTCAGCCATCTCTTCCATCTCTGCACAGAGAGGACGACTCACTAATCCATGCCGCAAAAGAGAGCTTTCTTTGCGTTCAATTCGACTCTCGATGACGGGGGAGCACACAACCAACAATCCCACGGTCTCAGTGCTCCATGCCGGATGTGCGTATTACCCAGCGCTCCGTTCGCAAGCACTGCTCTCCCTGGATATACACAAGTCGAGTGGGCCTGACGGAATCCTCCCAATTGTGCTGAGTACGTGTGCTCAAAAGTTGGCACCGGTCCTAATGCACTTTTTCCGGTACTCCTACTCCCTAGGCGTTGTCTCTCTCCTTTCGAAATCAAGGAGGACAGTTTTCGTCCACCCGACACTAAAAAGCTGACCGCTTAGATCCGCCTAACTAGAGACCTATCGCCATCGTCTCCTTTTTGGTATGTACGAGCAGCTATGCAGGTCTAGAGAGATTTACTGATGCTACTATCTACTACTGATGAGTATCACTAATGCGACCTAAAAGACCTATTGTGATCGCTGCTATGTCTAAAGTTCACTGCTAAGCCCTACGTTCTCAATAAATAGAAGGAGTTGCTTAGCTGTGAGTAATTTCACTTCTTCTGGGCGAAGTATATAGTTTCCCAGTTGAGTGTTGCGTTTGCGCATTAAGGGTTTGCAATTTGTCAGGATGCGTAAAGGCGTTTCCTCTTCTAGGGAGCAAAACCGGCATATCCTTGAGTTGCTTAGTCCAGGATGGACATGTGCTTTTTAAGACAACATTATCCAGTCAGGGCTCTTACCAGAATGCGCTTGGATCCATCTATCTAGAGGCCTATTGAAATCACCTCCTTTGTCTCCAAAATAATGGAATCCGTTATAAACTACCAGCTCATGCGGTACCTTAAAGATCACCTGCTGATTAGTGACCGCCAATACGGTTTTCGTCGGGGTCGATCAGTTGGTGATCTTCTGGTCTACCTGACTCATAGATGGGCGGATGAGTAGAGTCCAAGGTTGGGTTTGACACAAAGCGCTTCTTTGGAAGCTCCGTTCTTATGACCGTTCCGAAAAATTGTGCAATTGGATCACCAGCTTTCTTGCAGATCAGTGCATCAAGGTCGTTGTAGATGGTGCACGCTCAGTCTTAATGCTGGTTTTCCTCAAGGCTGCGTGCTATCACCAACGCTGTTTCTTCTGCATATCAGTGATATGTTGATGCGGATGACAGTACTTGTGACAGCTCTACACACTGGCCGTGCCAATATTTCTCGGCGAAACGTCGTCGAGTACTGAAACAAACTGTTTGCGTGTTTACTTGTAAAAAGAATTTTATTTTTTATTTTTATTTTTATTTATTCACAAAATCCACAGCTTGTAACAATTAATTACACTCAAAACTTATAAAATAGGTCTTGAAGCCAATTACGGATTCACAATATACTTATTAAGCTAATAAAACGTCACAAAGTATTCAACACCTTACTTAACCCGGCAGGAGGCGCTACCGGGTAAAAAATACCCATAGTGTGGTTTAAACGTTAATATTTCTTTAACCAGTAGCTGCGGATTTTCGGCGGTCTAGGTACCTCTCGGGAGGGGATGCAGCTAGGCGTGCGCGGAGTGTCGATCAGTTTGCCCATGCGGCGCGACCGGGACGGACGTTCAAACTGTGTATGGGTGTTTTTTACCCAGTAGCGACTTTTTGTGTAACTTTCGTTTTGTGTGATTTAAATTTGTTATGAGTGTTTATTATAGTATTTCATATTAAAAATGTCACATTTTTTGCGAGAGGAAGCAATATTAGAAGAATTAGAAGCAGAGTACGAATCATCATGTTCTGAGACTGAAGATATAGAAAATGACAGTATTCACGATACTGATTCTAAGGAAGATGCGGATCCTTTTGGTCATCAATCACATGAGTTATCTCCGCTTGTTCAACCACTCGGAGTGCGAAATTGGCGAGATCTTCAAGTATCCCATGATTATTTAGAAAATGTTCCATTACAGTTTTTGCGATGTGGGGAGTTCACGGGCAAAGATAATATTACAAAATGGCAAGTTTGTGCGCCACCACAAAATGTTAGGACTCGATCGCACAATGTAGTCCTTACTATGCCTGGACCTATTCACGAAGGTAGGAACTGTTCTTCTATAATTCAGGCGTGGAATCTCATTTTTCCTCCAGAGTTTATAACAAAAATAGTCACATACACAAACATCTATATTGAAAAGCAAAAAGAAAAGTATAGTCGTGTCAGAGACTGCAAGTTGACAAACGAAATTGAGCTTCGTGCTCTATTTGGATTGCTTTACTATATTGGACGAGTCCGAGGTGCACACTTGAACACCAAAGACCTATGGGCGTCAGATGGTACGGGAAGTATGATTTGCATTGCTACTATGTCCAGAAAAAGATTCCTATTTCTTTTGAGAAGTATTCGTTTCGACAACGTTGATACCCGACTTGATCGGCGACCATCAGATAAACTTGCTCCACTTCGCGAAATTTACCACTTGGACCACACGTAACTATTGATGAAAAACTTGAGAAAACACGAGGAAGATGCCCTTTTCGTCAATACATCCCAAGTAAACCCGGAAAATACGGTGTTAAACTCCATCTAATGGCCGACAGCAAAACATTTTATACTTACAACATAGAACCCTATGTTGGTACTAATGAAGGGCCATACAATTTGAGCAATTCTGCGTCTGATGTTGTAAAGCGCCTTGTTACTCCAATTAGAGGTTCTCATAGGAACATAGTAATGGATAGTTGGTACACTAGTTTGCCACTTAGTCAGGATTTATTACATGAATATGGTCTCACTTCTTTGGGCACAATACGAAAAAACAAGCCACAGATTCCTGCAATATTTTCTGCAACTCAGAGAAGAGAAGAAAAGAGTTCATTGTTTGGGTTCCAGAATGATTGTACGCTGGTTTCTTACGTGCCAAGAAAAAATAAGGTGGTACTTTTAGTAACAACAATGCACCATGATGCATCAATAGACCAGAATTCAGGCGAAAAAAACTTACCAGAGATTATAGCAGATTATAATAGGTACAAGTGTGGCGTTGATGTAGTAGATGAGCTCTGCGGTACGTATTCTGTATCTAGAATTACAAAAAGGTGGCCCTTAGTCATATTCTTTGGCTTTAAGAACATTGCAGGCATCAATGCATACGTCATTGCCAAACAAAATAAAGAGAATCTTGGCCAAACCTGTGATGATCGTAGAAACTGCCTAAAACAACTCGCATTGGCATTGAGTAAACCCCTAGTCAAGGAGAGGCAATTAATTACTAACTTGCCAAAAGAAATTAAAAAATATATAGAGTTAGTAGTTGGGATCGAGGAACCAGTGTCTGAGGCTGCACAAATGGCACCATCAACTTCGTCATCATCGCGTTGCTCTGTCTGTACTTGGAAGAAAGACCGTAAAACCAAAACTTCATGCAAATTTTGTTTCGTGAAAATCTGTAAGGAGCACACAATTCCAATTTGTGACAATTGTTACCAAGAACGCAAATAAAATTATTTATAGATATAAATCCTACTTAGCGAGTAAATGTTTTGTTGATTTTTTTTTGGCTAATGTTCAAATTACTTTAATTTTGTCCGTTTTGTTGCTAGGAAGCTATTTTGTTTTTCATTATAAAATTTATAATTTTGTTAGTGTCATAAAGTTCATTTTTTTTGTAATTTTCAAGTTGATGATAAGAAAAAATATGGTTTTAATATCTTATCCAAAAAAATCCTCAATTTTTAATAATAAATGTGAAAGACCTAAATATAAGTAAATTAAAGTAATTTTTCAGAACAGACTTGTTTTATTAAATCAAAATAAAGTAAACTAATATAAATTTATGTGTGCCTTTGCTTTTTAATTCAAATTCAGTCAGTTTTTAATTTTCATTAAACGATGAAATTTCAAAATAAGTTTTTATAACGACTTACTTTAATTACATAAAACATAGGTACTGAATAATTTTATTTGTAAAATGTGATAATTTGTGCAGCAGTGAAGCATGAATGACCATGACGTAACGGCGATCGCAGAGATTTTAGCCGACGTCAACACCGTCTAGCGACTACTTTCTGGATTACTTAGAAAAGTGCAAAGATAAATAGATTGTAGAGGTGACAAGTATAAAAGTAATATACTGTCTATTATACTTGCGTATCACTGAGAATTATGTCGCGGTTAAGCATCTTCAATTACTTTGCACGGTGTGCTGCTGTAGCTTCGACTGGTTGGCATCACGAGCTATCAAGTATTTAAGTTTTAACTACGCAAGAGTTTTTATTATATTTGTTGAATCGCATTTATTTGTGTCGTATTAGTAGCTCTAGGTCTAAGCATTCGCTGTAAATTTTTCCCGGGTTGGAATACCGGCAGCCCCAATGAAATTTGTAATTGCAATTTTCGTCAACATGCATTGGGGCAGCGCGGCGGACATTTTCTTGTCCTTAAACCCTCTCAGAAATAATAGTATAACTTGTATAGCTTGTTACTTTACTTTTGTAGCAATATTCCTATTCGTTTTAAGGCGGCTCTTCACGTTGGCCAACATACTGGCAAATGTGTTGGCCAACAACGATGGCCATCGTGTAGAGCGGGTGTTTATGCTTACGCTGGTATGTATTGGAATGATGGCCCACAAGTTGGCGCGAGATCCGTGTGGTGTCGGTTTTTTTACAAAAGATCAAAGGGTTGTGGGAGAGTATTGGCCGTGGCGTCCATACGTTGGGCGCAGGTTCAGTTTGCTACGAGCTCCCAGAGTGATCGCACGCACCTGATTTAAATTTTCTGCCGACTTCCAAAAAGGAAACGGTACTCAATTCGACTGTATGTTTTTTATGTGTGTTACCTCATAACTTTTTAACTGGGTAAACCGATTTGGATGATTCTTTTTCTATTTTAAAGCTGGTAATTCTCGTGTAGTCCTATATGAATTTGATCAGGGCAGACCAATAGTTTTTGAGTTATACTTAATAACTCATATTGAAGTCGGCTGTACAAAACTTTTAATTTTAAACTATGTACCGATCACAACATTGGTAGATAACGTATTAATTATATATGCACGCATCGTAACTAGAGTCTACATAATGGCAGTATCAATGACCAATGAAAATACTCGTACTTTTCGCTTTATAGAGCCCTACCAAGCCGAAAATTGTTTGTGAAACACAAGTCTTTCAAGTATGTTTTTAAACAAACGTTACCCCTACACTTGGATTTTCTCCTGTATCGTGGAGGCAGTTTACAAACATAAATTGCATAAGGACAAATATCCAGACCCGGAGCAATTATTTGCAGGCCATACAAATACTTGTTCCGTGCGGGATTCAAACCCACGGCCCCCAGCGCAGCAACTCATTGCTAAACCACTACGCCACGGAGCCGTCAAGAGATAAAATTTATTTTTTTCCATTTTTTTTGACCACCCTTTTCTTATACACATTCACCTTGTAGTGGTATGCTGTGAATAAATAAACCGCAGCAGTCGTTAGTGCCTCAAAAATCATTTTAATAAATTCGTCTGCACATTGGCCTGAACTGAAGCAAACTGTACGACCTTCCAACGTGTGGACGCGATCACAAAATTTTGGCCAATATCATTGGCAACACATTCGCCACTATGTTGGCCAATGTGAAGAGCCGCCATCACATACAGAAGGGTACCTAATGCTGACAAAAATATCAAGTGGAGACCACGAAAACGTAAAACATTTTTGTACCTAGATAAAATGTTCGAGAGATTGTCAGTAATGACATATGCCACATTTTCTATAGAGCGTAGAATGTTGCATATAGGGCAAAATAAAAAATAATCCAAAATATTATGGCAATTATTTATTAATAATATATACATTTAAAGGTATGTATAATAAGAATAATGAACAAGCTGCAAAGTTCAACTAATAATGTTTCTTGTAAACACAATTATAAAATTCCTGTTTTCATTTTAACTAATGGTTAATTGATGAAACGTAGTCAAGATCACTTCATATAAAATATATTTCATTAAAATTGACACACGACCTCTTTGGTCTTCTACTTACAATTCGGCGAAAATTTGGAAAGAAAGATTTTGCCTGTTCTAAATTATCTTGTGTAACCCATTTTTCACAGGAGTATTGTTTAAAAAAGCTTTTAGAAAAATATTTATTCACTTCGCAATTATCCGCGTTATAAAATAAAGTGATGTGTCTTACCTAGTATGAAGAGCACCTCCCGCCCTCCCTCAATTGCGTGCACTATCCCCGTCACCACTAATCCCAGCACAGTGTTTCGCCTCTACACGAGGCATCCTCAGGTGATATAGACTCTACGGTGGCTAACCGCTAAGTGAGCGGCGAGCCAAAACAAGTGCCTTTTATACAAACCGATGTGCAACCGCTCTCTACCTAAGGAGCGAGCGACTGCGTCATGCGATAAAACATGCGACCAATCACCGCCGAACTTACGCAGCCGTTTGTAAAATTAAAAACAAACCGCCGCGCAACGCCCACCCTCCAACCACGCAACTAATCACCGAACACCGTGAGGTTGACAAACGACCATATTGCGAAGCTCTCTATTATTAGAGAGCAGGCTTAAAGATATTTAAGAGAGGTGAGTTAGTAACATTTGTTTGTTCATTCAGCAATGCAACGGTACTATTGTTACTTTTTAATATCTCTAACTGTTCCAGCACACACAGCCGCAGCCCTTTATTACACGTATGTAAGAATTTAAAGGAGTGGTAGTTGGCTAGGTTGTGTCCAGTGTCCAAAAGATGTTTGGTAAAATGGGATTTATCGGGATTGCAATTCCTGTACGCGGCTAAATGCTCTTTATAACGTGTCTCGAAATTTCGACCAGTCTGACCCACGTAAACGGCGTGGCATTCGTCACAAACAAGTTTGTAAACACCTGACTTTTGACGAATATCCAACTTATCTTTATTATTATAGATATTTCTAAGATAATTGTTTGTTTTGAACGCCACATAAACGCCGTTTTGTCGAAGAGTATTAGCTACTTTTTCAGATATGGGGCCTAAGTAGGTCAAACTGCTCACATATCGATGAACACTTTGAGGTTTAACCGCGTACAGAGAGTTGCGAACAACATGCTTTTGTTTCTTTTTAATTAAATTGTTAATGAGATTTTTTGAAAAACCGTTAGAGACCGCTATTTGATAAGTTATATTAAGTTCTTTTAAATAATTTTCTTTACTTAATGGGACAGTGAACAAACGGTTAATGTAACAATAAAAAGCGGCTACTTTATGTTCCCACGGATGAAACGATGATGCGGGGATGACCGTGTCGGTGTGAGTTGGCTTTCGATAAATTTGGAAAACATGTGACGATTCTTTTCTTGTTATTGTTAAATCGAGAAAATTAAGGGAACAATCTTGTTCCAATTCAAGTTTAAATTTAATTTTGTCATAGACTCTATTTATTTTATTGAGGAAAACATCCAGTTGTCTCCTTGTACCAGTCCAGCAAATAATTATGTCGTCTACATATCGATAGTAATATAGGATATTTTGATTGACAACTATATGTTGTTTTTCGAAATTGTCCATGAAAATGTCCGCAATAAGGGGATTTAGAGGGGACCCCATAGCTAACCCTTCTTTTTGTAGATAGAAACGGTTATTAAACCGGAAATAGTTTTGTTTTATTCAGAGAGAGGTTAACTTAAGAAGATCAACATGTTCTTTATGTATTTTTGGTAACCCATATAAAATGGGTGCTTGAGCATTCATTGGAACAAGATTGCTCCAAGACATGTTGTGATCGGGAAAAACATATGATGACTGTTGTATACATAACTTAATATCCGAAGTAAACTTTTTGGTTGGATCAGACTCCAACAGCTCAAAGTCATCACCTTGGATAACATCGTTAACTTTCTGGCTGTACCCACTACTCTCCATAATAACAACAGTATTGCCTTTATCGGCTTTAATAATGGTATGGTCGTTTGTCACCCTCACAGTGTTCGGGGATTGGTTGCGTGGTTGGAGGGTGGGCGTTGCGTGGCGGTTTGTTTTTAATTTTACAAACGGCTGCGTAAGTCCGGCGGTGATTGGTCGCATGACGCAGTCGCTCGCTCTTTAAGTAGAGAGCGGTTGCGTCAGCGGTCTGTATAAAAGGCACTTGTTTTGGCTCGCCGCTCACTTAGCGGTTAGCCACCGTAGAGGGTGCTGGGATTAGTGGTGACGGGGATAGTGCACGCAATCGAGGGAGGGCGGGAGCTGCTCTTCATACTAGGTAAGACACATCATTTTATTCTATAACGCGGATATTTGCGAAGTAAATTTTTCTAAAAGCTTTTATATAATGGATTTCCGCAAAGTAACGCCTGATTCTATTAATTATAGAAGTATTGTTTACAACTGGCGTGGTTTTGAAAAGCGGTATATTGTCTCTTTTTGTTATATGTTCTTAAAAACTGACGTCATTTGAATATTTTATTATTTGTGTTTTTTGTAACGCATAGGGTTTTTTGGATAAGTTTGTAGTTTTTTT